GATTCAAGATTTTTTTTTAAAGATTATACTGAGAATAACACAGTAAACTGCTAGCTATTATTGAAAATAAATAGATGGCAAGAAGTACTGTGCCAGACATAAGGAAGACTTCCTTGCTATGTACCCCTAGATTAAACCTTGACTTTGAATTATTGTTCAAGCATGTTTATGACAGCAGATGCATTTCTAAACTAGAATGATGGACATAATTCTAATTCGCAGTTACCGGGCAGGATGAGACGTATGGGCGAGTCTCTGTTAACGTACTGGAGTATGCAGCACCGGTATGGAACCCACACCTAGTCAAACGTGTCAAGAAACTGAAGCAAGTGGAGAGTGGACTAGTTCGGCAGTGGACTAGTATTGGAGGTAAGACGTATGTATGAGGAGAAGCTGAAGGACCTAAACCTGAGGATATTAGAGTACAGAAGGACAAAATAATGATAGGAAATGAGAGGCTGGACAGAGACAGAATGTTCGAGAGATGGAAAACAGAAACGTGATGGGGCAGCCGGGAAGCGTCTCGCTAGCCAGTGGCTGGCGAGACGCTTCCTCAATAAAGATTCCCTGTCGTGGGGTTCGAATTGATGGATTTGGGAACAACTACACAAGTATAACACATAGGGAATCAGTTACACTACTGATATCCCAAATGTTGCACAAGTGTATTATACTTCAACTTGTCGCTTTTCTAAAACATTTACATCACAAGATCAGTCACCTGGAGGTTACCTGGAGGTTATTCCGGGGATCAACGCCCCCGCGGCCCGGTCCATGACCAGGCCATGTCATAGTGATCCAGTAGTTGCTCACCGGGATCTCTGTGTGAATCTTCCTTCTTTGATCATCATTATAAACACCGGAGGAAATGGCAGAAAAATCTGAAAAATCCCTTGAACTGAAAATATGCTGTATATAGACAGCTACTCTGCTGAAGAGGGTCTCCGAGGCCGAAATACGCAGATATCTGGTTTAGAAACACACGTAAGCAAACACTATAACACATTTATTAGAAAACGCCTCGGTCCTGGGACCTTGATCAAGGTCCCAGGACCGAAACGTTTTCTAATAAATATGTCATAGTGTTTGCTTACGTGTCTTTCTAAACCAACTTGTCGGTATTTATTACCAAGGTTTATACCACGCAGATATCTAAAGTGAACAAATGTGAGATATTGTATTAAAGAAAATAGTCAACATACCCATACAATGGTGTAGAGATTAATATAACATAATGTTACTATTAAATAAGATTCTGGTTAGCACAAATCTGCAGTCTAATCAGATTGCTTTCAGCTAGTATATCTCACATTTTCCCTTTCCTAGGAAATATTATATCCAGATTAGTTTCAAAGCTAATTCTAGGTTCACGAGAAAGTATTTTACCTCCATAAATCCACTCTGGCTGTGAGTGCAAACGCATCGCAGTTCACGATGACAAAAATATCATAACGAACCAAATAAGCCTCACTCTTGTTTATATAATATATATATGTCGTGCCGAATAGGCAGAACTTGCGATCTTGGCTTAAATAGCAACGCTCATCTTGCCATATAGGACAAGCGAAATTTTGTGTATGCAATAATTTCGCCAAAATCATTCTGAACCTAACGAAAAAAATATATTTCATTGTGTTTGTTTAGTAATAAATTATTGTAAACAAATCTAAAATATATTTAGTTGGGTTAGGCTAAAGTAAATTGTTCTTGTTATAATAAGGTTAGGTAAGTTTTCTAAGATTCTTTTGGAGCAAAATTAAAATTTTTTACATTAACATTAATAAAAAAATATATCTTTAAACGCATAAGAGAAATTTTTAGAAAGGACTTAACTTTAAATGAGTTCTTGCTAATTGACCAGTTTTACATATTCGGCACGACACACACACACACACACACACGCACACACACACACACACACACACACACACACACACACACACACACACACACACACACACACACACAAACAAACTACTAAACATAATACAACTACTACAATCACACATAAACAAATATATTATATATATATATATATATATATATATATATATATTATATATATATATATATATATATATATATATATATATATATATATATATATATATATATATATATATATATATATATATATATATATAATATATATATATATCTTAAGGGTAGCTCACTGCCTCGAGTCTTTTTTTTTACGGTACCTTTGGGTCGCGTGTATATACAAATAATTTGCTTCTGCATGCTTCAACGCGCGTGTTGCTGTGCATCACCATTAGTGTCACAAACTTGGAAAATATGTAACCAAAAATTGCCGCTGCGTTGACTGTGGCAGGTCGCGCACTGTGTCGCCCTCTGTACTTTGGTTATGCATGCTATATAAGGCGGGCAAGGTGTGTTATTTATGTGAACGATAAGAACGGGTGCATAGCCGAGTACCTGATTGATGGGAGCCATTGATGGTCCACAGCATGAGCCGACGGGGAAGGAGGGGGGGGGGAAGCATAAGTCGAAGGCCCGCAGCATGAGCCTGAGTCCATATCTTCAGCCGGGACCCACCTCATCACACAGTGTGGTTGATTCGGCCAGTTCTCTACACCCAGTGCGATAATAAATGTATCAGTAGTTTCACTCATTGTGAGCTCTAGAGCGTATGTTAGAGCTGGTGTGATGTTAGTTACACCAGTGTTAGAGCTGGTGTGATGTTAGTTACAGCAGTGTTAGAGCTGGTGTGATGTCAGTTACACCTGTGTTAGAGTTTATATAATGTTATACCAGTGTTAGAGTTTATATAATGTTATTTATACACAGAGTTAGACCCAGTTCTGGCAGTCACACCCAGTATTAGAATTAGCATGATGCTAAAAGTTATACCCATGGTTTGAGCTGCCGTGATAGGAGTTATATCCAGTGTGAGTAATTGAGTATGTAATATTAAGTTACACTGTGAACTTTAAGATTTTGTGTGTGCCTGCCTTCAAAGAGATATAAATACCGTCTTCGTTAAATCTGTAAGAATGACTGTGAATCTGTAAAGTACATGGAGAGTATTTATCTAGTTGATATCGAGGTCCGCGGTATCAGGAAAGGAGCGCTCACCTACCTGCCTACCTATCTACTTGCTGATAGTTCCTGGGCCGCCTGATTAGTCAGGTTATTGGTGCAAGCTTCTCGCGCACCCACCACAGCCCGGGTAATCAGGAACTGCCTTTAGGAACCTTCGTAATTCCGTATCGAAGACAGGGGGTCTATCGGCAATTCATTTCAAGGGAGGGTGTTACAGTCTTGGACCCTTTAAGTTCATCCTCATACCGTAGACAAATCATAGCACCGTATCATCCTTTGCAGATGATACCAGAATATGCATGAGAGGACACTGCAAGTCTCCAGGCGGATATAAACCAGATCTTTCAATGGGCTACAGAAAACAATATGCTTTTCAATGAGGACGAAATTCAGTTACTTCGTTAAAGAAAATTGAAAGAAAAAATATAAAACGAAGTATAAAGGTATCTCTAACCACTCAAGAGAGCGAAAAACGAAACTGAGAGACACAGGATTAATTACTGTCAAGGAGCACAACAGTGTCATTACCACAGCCACGACGAGAATGATGGGAGGGATAACAAGAACCTTCAAAACAAGAGAGGTCAATTCAGTGATGGTACAGTCACTTATTTTCTCTAGGCTGGAACAGTGCTGTATAAACAGTCCCTTTTAAGGTATGGGGAAATTTAAAAAATTCTTCGCCTAGAAATGCGTTTGAGGAATAAAAAAAAAATTAGATGAATAGTTCAGAGAACTGACAAGTTGATAAATTAGACAAATGTGCAACATCCAAGTGTTGGACATGTGTCTAATTTATCCAAAAAAAATAATAAGATTCATAACTATTGTTTGAGGTACAGGAAAATTCCGATTCGTCTCAAAGGTTCGTCTCAAAATTCAAATGTATCAAATTGCAGCTCAGAGATTTAGATAACCTTCAATGTTAGTATAAATTCAGTCTAGTACCTAATTTACTGGAAGCCTTTGAAATCCCTTCACCTGTATTCCCTGGAGTTCAAACGATAAAAATTCATAATAATTTACACCTTGAAAATTCTATAGGAATTGGTTCCAAATCTGCACATAGAAATCGCTACCTACGAAAGCGACAGGCATATCAGGCGGCGCAAAATACCCCAGTGAAAAACAGGGATGCTATTAGTATTCTAAGAGGTATCACAATAAGTGTATGAGAGCCAAGACTTTCCAGCGCCTATCCTTCATGCATAGGGGGCATTACCAACAGATTCCTACCTGTCTTCAAGAGGGACCTTGATAAGTTCCTCAAAGGCAGCTCCTGATGAGTCGGGCTGTAGTTCGTATGTCAGAATGCGTGAAGCCAGCAGTAACAGTCTGAGTGACCAGGTCTTGATTCACCAGGAAGCCTAGTCTACGACCGTGCCGCGGGTGCGCTGATTCAGAACATCATGCTGGTTTCATTCAGGTATCTCGCAGTCTACTTACTGTTTCCCATTTTTTCACAGGGGGTATGTCGCGTCGTCTGACGAGCCCGATACTCTCACGGGAGTAATTTTAATGCGATTATTTTTAGGCGGCATTCCTCTCAAAAAATATTTTTTTGACTGAATAAACAGGTAGTGAGAGCTCACTGTACATTCTCCAGATCCGAAAACTATCGAATATGTTATGCTATCAACTGCTGCTGTATTTCAGTAGAATAACTGCTCTACATAACTAATAGCATTTATTTGTGAATAAAAAACATTCCAAGATCTAGATGTTTAACCATTAGTAAGTGTCAACTATCGTGAATCGGGATGCATATGTAAAAAAGAACTTCGAAAAATTACATGTCAGCAAGCTTGTAACAGATTCAATTCATCGTACATGAAGCACTTTTACTAGTAACTGCCTTCACGTAACTATACAGACATGCAGACGTAGGCAACAAACATTCTGCGGAACTTTACTCTTGACAGTTTCTTCCTAGCTCAGGTAGAAGATGGTCTGTCCTAAGGGGATCGTCGCTTACCTCCAACACGCCTGGAAGTGGGAGTTCGACTAACCAGGGAACTCCTCCTGAGGGCTGCAGCTGTTGTTGTTGCTGTCGGAATATTTACCTATCAAGTCAGTTTTAATGTAGAAGAACATCTGAAAGGAACGACGGTGCTCAGGATCACCAAGAGCAAGGATCATCCACTGATGTTTCCACCAATCAACGTGTGTCCATCGCCTCCCTTCGATCCCTCCCGCCTGGCTCAGCTCGGCGTTAACATCTCCGTGGGTTCAGTGGAGGAAGTTTCCAAAAACATAGAAAACCTAATCGGATTGGACAGACAACTCACGTTACGTCAGTTGCTCGAGGAAGCAGCATGGAAGCTGGAAGACATGGTCGACTGGATCTCTCTTGGGGTCTTGAACGAATCTTATTCCTCTCGTTCATACTCCCAGTTATGGAGGCGTTCGTTCACACCAGTGGGACCTTGCCTGAAACTCACCCTTCCTCTGGTTTCAAACCATAACGACTCCATTTTCAGGCTCAGATTCCGGGACATTCCCAGGAGCCTAGAGCCGTGTATGTGGGTGGAGAAGGGTCGCAGCATGAAATACGAATCCCCGAACGATTGCTCCTCCGTACAACGTTACTGCAACACCACCTGCGTTTGGCAACAGTATCTTGTGACCTATGCTTCCTACTTCCAGTCAGTTTTCCTAGGGTCAACCTCAGTAAAGTTGGATTTACATCACATGATTCCACAATTCTCATTACAATTTCGAGAAGGAGTTTTAAAGCCAATCGAAATCAATGGTAATTCAGCTGCTGAAGATTACAATCATGACTTTTGTTACCATAAATGTCTTATGAGTAAAGAGGAAGCAAAATTGAATTGCTCTGCTATGTATGAAGACAAAATGGATAACAAAATAGACAATTTATGTATAACGTTCATACAAACGTTCAAAATTTCGATAAGGTTTGTCAACGATATTAATTCCAAATGCCTAAACTTATGCAAGGTCAAGCGCCACAAACTTCAGTGGGTAATTGAAGAAGACTCTGAGATTTCCGAAATAAATGACGGCTTCACTCTGCGCTTTTCATCACCTTATACTGTACAATTCACAAAACAGGAAGCATACCCCCTCAGCCGCCTCCTGACAGACGTGGGAGGCAGTCTGGGTCTCTTCCTGGGGTTCTCCCTCATGGATTTATGGGTTGCTGGAACCTTTCTTATTGGAGCAATTTTAAACCGGTTACGTACCTCAACCTATGGCTGTGACCTGGCAGTACACGGTGATACGTGTGAAGCAAATGTATATAGTCCCCTTAGCAAATTAACTGGCATAGTATTCCTTGCAAGTTTTTCGTGTGTTCACTTACTTGTTACCTTTAAGGATTATATTCTGCAGCCGGAGATGTTGTCTTGTATAATTATGTCTCGCAAAACACCTCCAGTGATCAATCGCAGTCTTGAAGAGTTGTTTGTAACTCGTTTTGCTAGTCGTCCCCTTGGATGTAAATTTCCATCATCTGACTACCTGAACTGCTTTTACAAGTGTCTTTTGCGGCGAATGCCTCCTGTATTCTTTCCATTCATTGAGGTAAACGATCTTCCAGATTGTACCGTGGAATTCTTAAAGCTGCCACGCTACAAGTTTGTTATTCAACTTGGATTTGTTAAGCAACACTTATCGGCTCATGTAGTGAGTGGAGAATGCTCCCTGGAGTGTGATGGACAAGACAACTCAGTAAGCAATACAGTCAGTGTCGACTGCTTATTAAGCCATGAGAAGTCTCTCACTATCTTATACCTCCTTTGCAGTTTTGGGGGAATTCTAGGCCTCTACTTTGGATTTTCTCTAATGAAGGGTATTTACAAAGAGTATGTCGCTCCAAGAATTAAAATATTGCTCAGAGCAAGAGGTAAATATTATCACACGATTCACCTAATTGTCACAGCAATTTTAGTATTAATTACTGCTATTCTATATATATTTCAGGTAAATTTATACCTAATGGGTCATCTGATATATATGACTTTGTCAAGCAGGCCGCTAGAGACTAGGGATTTGCCGGCGGTAACGGGCTGCATATGGCCGCCGTTCAACATGCAACGGTTGATGGAAACAGTGGGTCTTGCAAAGGCATACGATCAACTGACTCACCTAAGTCCTGTAGACAGACATGCCGCCATCACCCGTCTCCTGCAGGAGCTACCTGAGACTGCGGTACAAATGGATCCACAGTACCTCTGGTCAGCCAGTGCTTGGACAGCGAGGGAGGCAAACATGTTTCTTACCGTGGTTCACTCATCACCTATGGTTGCTGAAGAAGTAATCGCTCACAGTGACAACAGCACAATATTAAATCAATGTTTCATTTTTATCCCTATCATACATGCTGATGGGACACTGCATCAAGTCAAATATAATTTTGAGGTCTTTATCGGTCGACCAATCAAAGAAGAAAATGTCTCGGGCTACATCATGGTGCACAGACACGACGATTTCGCCATCATAGGACGTGAACCAATGAAATATGGACTAAATTTCGCTTTGGAAGTCTCGGGATTATCAAGCTGGGATAGTTTTCAAGGCTCAAACCTCAAAAATGGTGAATGCGTCTCCCGTTGTCTGGACGATGCATTGGTGGATCAAGTGAGATGCCGCCTACCCTGGGTGGGACGACGCCAGGACCTGCCAGTCTGCAACATGACTCAGTTCACAAAGTTCCTCACTGCTCTCTGGCGCCTGGAAAAAAACCCACAATACATCTATTCTAGCTTAGTTGGTGCCAGTCAAACCAGCACTTGCGAGCAGAGATGTCAACCACGAAATCAAAGGTTTTACAGGATTAGAAAGTCTGACAGAGAGTATTTAACCAACAGTTTTTCAATCGGGATTGTAAATGGAGAGCAAAGAATGGACAGTGCCTATTATCTAACAGCCTCTATAGAGATGACACCGACCGCTATTGAAGTTGTGAAAGTTGAGGACGGGTACCCCACGCACCAGTTAGTGAGCGACCTCGGTGGCATTGCTGGCATGACACTGGGATTCTCACTGCTCTCACTTCTCATGACAGTGATCGGTTATCATTATGCCTCGTCTCACTCTCACAGACTGTGATCTGGGGCGCCTGCTCCCGGTCTCACTCCCACGGACGATAGGATGTCGCCGCATTCTGCCTCATGCCCAGGGGCGATGATCGGGTGCCTATATAAATTACTACTTGTCATTGTGTTGAATGACAATTCTCAGTGTTCAGTAATGCTAAAAAAAAAAAAAACATTTTTAATACATGTAAAAGGCAGTGTTGCACCCATTCTTGCAACACAAATGATGAACGATCAGATCTAAATGTTTCCTGTTTTCTCTCTGCCACCTCGTGTCCACAGATTATTGCAGCCTTATTTTTTTATCTTTTTTTTTTAAATTAAAATACATTGACGTAAAGTTATATAACCTAACTCAATAAA